CTCCAATTTGGTTTTTTGTTTTTGTTTTTGTGAAATACATTAGTTCAGAATAGATTAAAGGATACTAGAGTAGAAGATGCCAGAGGGTATCACATGGAATAAAGGTAAGAATGTTTTCATGAAACATCTTTCAGCTTTATACACACATACACACACACACACCACACCCCAAGAATCTATTTCTTACTGTGGATCATGGTCAAAGTTTCCCTCTACCGAAAGTTCTTGAATTCTCCCTAGACACACCAACAGACTATGCCTAGGAGGCAGGGTGGTCACTTCTAGGATCACTCCATAGAGCTAATATTCCAATATTTTGTAATTCAGTGAAAACAGCAATGCCTATGTTAACTCTGATTGTAAAGCCCCAACCACCCCAAATCTAGCCCTGCAATCCATGAGTGGTCAAGAAAGAGAACCACCTGCTGCCAACACAGTGGGACCATGACCAAGATCTGGTCCTCCTAGAAGCCTTTGTGACCAGCCCCATCAAACTCCCTTTACTCCCCTTCAAACACACCCAATTGGGAGGCATCTGGTCAAAGTTGTTGTTTTTGTTTGTTTTTGTTTTGTTTTTGTAGAAGGGAAGAGGGAGAGGAAGGAGAATCTAAAGCAGGCTCCACACCCAGCGTGAAGCCTGACGTGGGGCTCAATCTCACAACCCTGAGATCATGACCTAAGCCGAAATCAAAGGTCAGACACTCAACCGACTGAGCCACCCAGGCGCCCCTGGTCAAAGTATTTTTAATTGCTTTACGCATGAACATACCATATGTCCACTCCATGGAAAGGTCCACCAGAAATGGGTTTATGCTTTTACAGCCCCAAAGCATCAAAGAGCTGTTGTCCACCAATGTGGACGACAGGTATGGGCCCTGTTTCTGAATACTGTCAGATGGCTGATGCTTAGCAGCATTCTCCAAGGGAGTTGAATAGAAAATAACGTGGCTCTGGAACCAGGCAAACTAGGCTGAAATCATCACTGTGCCCCCATGCTAGCCATGTGGACTTAGTCAACTTAATTACTATCTCTGGTTGTCTGCATCTGAAAGCAAGGAGAGTACCTAACAGTTTTATCATAAGGATTAAATAAGCTGATACATGTAAAGCACCTAGGACAGTGATCAATGCATATCAGCTGTTGCTATTCTAGCACGTGGGGCTCACGATTCTATCAACCACTGGAATTAATTCAGGAAGGCTTCCCAACCCCCAGATGTTGTGTTCTCTAGAGGAGGCATTCTACTTAAGTCTCTAAGAATTAAAGGCTAGGAGAGTTGGTTGGGTTGGCTATGAAGATTTCTGAAATGCAGAAACCGGAATCTGACCCATCTCTCCAGGCAGCTGGAAAACATCACAGCTTTCTGAGAAAAAGAAGACCACCAGCAGATGTGAGTTTTAGGGAAACATGGAAATACAGTCAGGAAATAAGAAAGGGCAGGTACAGCACTGAGGGTGGAGAGAGTAGAGTTAAGAAACTTTCTGCACAATTTTATCAAGAAGAACTGAGGACATGAGCAAACACGGATGTGTGATATCACAGCCAAGGAGAACAAAGGGAAGAGAATGGCCACATCTGACTTTGGAGAGGCCACGTCTGAGTGCCACTGGGTCATACGTGGGGGAGAGGTGGACCATGATCACATAGAGGAGAGCAGAGAAGAGAACCAGGGGGTGCTGGCCGTGGTACAAGGACCCTCTCACAGGATGGGAAGGAGAGAGGGAAGCCTGATGGCAGAGAAGGATCCCACAAGCTGAGTGTTGAGAAAGTCTGGGCATGACTGTAGACCAAGTGAAAGAGCAATCTGATATGCAGACAGAAGATTCTAGACTGACAGGATGGGTAAAGGATTGATCAGAAGCCTAGAGGCAGGGGTGGGTGGGAGAGACACTACACAGGTGGAAGGTTACTCTCAGGTGGTAGGATGGGAAGTGAGAAAGGAAAGGTGATGGCAGACAGATCCTAAAGGATCTTTTCAGCAAAGCAGACAGACTAGCATCATTTGCTAAAGGTGGTGGCAGGGGGATTGGTGATAAGCCTCAAGCTTGAGAGGTTGCCAGAAATCGCTGGTAAGGTAAATTCACTAAGGAATTTAAAGATTAAAAAAATATATATTTTTGAGCAAAATTGTACAGTTGCTATGGAAAAGAATATGGTAATTCCTCAAAAAATTAAACATGGCATTACCATATGACCCAGAGCACTTCCACATCTGATACACACCCAAAACAAGTGAACGCAGAGACCTGAACAGTTTCACAGCATTATTCACAATGGCCAAAAGGTGTAAACAACCCTAGTGTGTCCGTCAGTGGATGCATAAATAAACAAAATGTGATCTACACATCAATGGAACACAATTCTGCCTCGGAGAGGAATGAGATTCTGGCATCTGCTACACTCTGGGAGAGTCCTGAAGATATTATACCAGTGAAATAAGCCGGTCACAAAGAGACAAATGCTGTATGATTCCACTTACATGAAGAACCTTGAATAGGAACATTTCCAGAGACAGAAAATAGGCTGGTGGGTGCCAGGGGCTGGGGGAGGGAAAGAACAGGGAGTCCCTCTTTAATGAGGACAGGGTTTCTGTTTGGGGAGATGAAGAAAGTTCTAGAGATGGATGGCGGTGATGGCCACACAACAGTGTGAATGCCACAGAACCGGACCCTGGAAAACGGGGAAGATGGTACCTTTTATGTGAATCACCATAATAAAATTGTTTAAAGGATCTGGCAGGAGCCCTGAGACGGGGGCATTCACTGAGGGACAGTAAAAAGCAGCACAAAGGGGAGGCTGTCTCCAGACAAACACGGATGCCGCAGAGAAGGGGCAGAAGTGCCCCAGGCAGAAAAGGGAGACATAGGATAGGCCACACAGCCCCACAGTTTCTTCTCCCACCTCACAAAAACATACCCATGTAGTCTCCCCTTTGTGTGTGTGCTCACTTACATTCAACAACCCAGGAAGAATGTGTGGTACTGAGTCAAATGGAAAGCAGCACCGCTGACGACCTTGACGCCATGTTCGTCCTGCAGCTAATTATTGCCCCCAACTCCTCTTGCCTCTGTCTCCCTTGAGCCTAAAATGCCGGGGCTGACCCTGCTGCCAGGCGGATGCAGGGAGCAGCTGCAGCTCTGGGCAGGGGACTGTAGGGTGCAGGCTCCGGGGACAGAACAGCCACGGCCCACCCCCACCCACCAATCCCATCAGCTCACCCCACATAATCAAAACGGCCACCAAGGGCCACCCTTTGGGAAACGACATGTAACCCCTACGAAATGCCACAGTCTTTTTCCTATTTCATATTTTTCATCTTTTCTCTATAGAAGATAATTCACAACTGTTACTTCCACTTCCGCAGAGCAAAACCTGAAGCGTGAGAACAACATAAAAACCGGGGTCCTGGGGTGGGAGTCTTTGAACCCCACCTGTACAAAGAGCATCTATGGTGCAAAAACGAACTACAGAATTAGCAGCAAGGGAGGCAACGTTTGAAACAAAACTCCGCCGCCAACCGGTCTTGCAGACGTAAAGTTGTCATCCATGCGGGAACATCCCTGAATGCACTCCCGTCTCACAAGAAAACAACCACTGAAGGGAGGTCTTGCAAGACTCCAGTCACTAAATAATTTGACACAGAGGGAGGTGGGCAGACAAAAGTCAAGCCCAATCAAATTTAATAATGTAAGGGTATATTTAGAAATCTAAAATTACTTCTGGGCTCAAACTTCCTGTAATTTTTATCTATTCTTACATCCGCCGCGCCTGTTTTTCTGAAATGCCACAGGATGTCGTAGTAAATGTCCTGAACACGTTGCTAATTTTAACCCTGGAGCAATAAGGAAGCTTGAGGCGATATCAAGTCGTGAAAATAGTTAACCTAAAACTTCAATATACGTACCACCTCGCTTTCTCTACAGATCATCAGTTTTTTTACAAGAAACTCAAATAAAGATCAAGCAATTCCACGGAAGAATCCAGCAGCTCTGCAAGACAGCTGCACCACCTCTGAAAGCAAAGGGCCAGTGCGGCTCCACCCATGCTGAGTTAGGACGGTGGCCCTGGTCACAGCAACCATGACACACCTGAAGCACGTATGTCTTTGTTCCAGACGGAATGGGAACCTTTCAAGCTGGGAAATCAGTTTCCAAAATGTTTTCAAGACAACAGCCATAACCATGTCTTCTGAAATTACACATTAAAAGAGCATTAAGGGAGGAGAGCGAAAGCAAAGGCAGCTACAATGAACAGTTGCGCGAAAGCCGCAAGTTAATCACTCAGAAGATTCTTGTTCTCTGAAGGACTCAGCTTGGCAGCCCCCTGCAAACCACACCTCCGTCTGCAGTCAGTCAGCCCCATGGAAACTGCCAGAATGGGGAAGCTGGACAGCATGCAGGCCCCGGGCTGCTCCAGGGGCCCGCCCCGTGCTCCGCCTCCCGGCACCTCCACACCGCAGCCCCGAGGACCTCACGTGGGGTGAAGGCATCTTTCTTCCAAAGGGCAACAGGGCGAGAACAAGTAATCCAAGGTGGTGAAAACAGTGGGACGGTGGGAACGCTGGATCCCTCGCTCTTCTGGGCAAGCAAAAGACTCGCTGCAGGACCAAGACGCATCACCATTCCCACAACATAGCTTGAGGTCCGACCGATGCCTGGGACACCTACAGCCTCAGCACCCCCACCTCTGCCCAGCCCCCGAGACACCCCGACAAGTGACGTGCAAACACTACTCTCATCAACATCCTCACATTTACGAAAAGTAAATTCAGCACATCTCCTTGCGGAGGAGCAAAGAGAGCAGTGACCACTGAAGAGCACCACCAGGGGAAGGAAACCAAATTTCAATACACAGAGAGCAAGACCGTGCTCGCTACAAAAGCCACCCCTGGGCTATCACGCAAGTTCAGCCTTTGTAGGAGGCAAAATCCCACCTGGGGAACCCCGCGGCTCACAGTGGGCCTTGGGGATGGCCGGTCCTGCTGCACCCAAGGGCCTACCTTCACCCTGACGGTCTGGTCCGACACGCTGCTCATCATGTCGCTGATGGATCGGAACAGCTGCAGCAGGGACTCCATGAAGTCCGCCTCTCCTTTGTCTTCATAGAGTCTACAAAGGAGCACACGACACTCGATGGGGCCTCGCAGACGGGGCCTCGCCTCTGTTTGCTCCTGCATCAAGAGCCATGGAAGGTGCTGCTGCAGTGACAACTCAGAACGTGAGGGAAAATCCTCCACGTCCAGGGAACACGGGAGGCAGCTCAGAAATGGGGTTCATCTGGACCACGCGGCTAGGGAGCTATGTCCTCCCGCTGAAGAAGCTGGTTTTGAACCATACCATTTACTGCTTTTTTTCATTGTAACATAACAACGTTTTATAAATCTGCAAAACGGAAATGTATAGAAAGGGACGGAAGGAGAGAAAGAGGAAAGAAGGACCAGAGGAAGGAGGAACAGGGAAGTTCAGCTTTAATGCTACCCCGCGGAGATCACACCATTTATTTTGGTGTACTTCCTGCCAGTGTTCTTTTAAACCCACAATGTCACATAATTAACATAAATTTAATTTCCTGAATTTAACACGATCTTGTAACCATTTGAAAATGATATTATAAGAGTAAATTCCAATTACTTTATTTCAGAGTAATGACACTATACAGATTCATCCATCACAGAATTGCTGGGAAAATTGTCAAGAGGTAGAGCATAATCAATAAATGGATAATAAGGAAGTTGCACATTGGTTACATGTATACAAATATATGTTGCTAATTATAAGTAAGCTTCACATATAAATTATTTATTAGCAGTTACTTCAAGTCGCTGTTACTAAAAAGCAATGCATTTGCATTTTAAAATGTTGCAATGCAGATGTTTTCTTAATATAGACTAGTTTTCTGCCTAAAGTATACCATACCTGAAAACTTGTGTACCATGGAAAATTTTGCAAACTAAGTGAAAATTAATTGCCCTAGAGGTAATCTTATATTTAAATGATTTCCACTGTAGCAACAAATTCTGTGTAAAACGGGAAATTGCAACCTAGTGTATCTGTTTTATAAAGGATTTTATAGATGCATAGCAAACAATCAAAAGTATCGAGTCATGAACTCCTGCTTGCAGGGAAAAGGAAGCAACAGAGCAACATTTTACAGACCGGTCCAAACACTTAGGGAGGCTGCAAACGTGCAGTCATTCTCCTCAGGACATCTGCCAATTCCTAGAGCTGTGTGGGGTAGGAGACTGCTCTGTAGAGTGGGGTTTCTATCAGTCTCCAAAGATAATGAATGATAACGAATTAGAAAATGCCAAGGAGATGGGTCCCAGGTGACACAGCAGACTCTCCACTGAAAACCCTGAAGAACCAAGAGCAAACCAAATGTAGATGGAGGCTTACGAAGGCTACACACAGCCTTGACGGAGAGAAAGGTCAGTCCCACTGTCTCTGCCTAGAAGGTGAAAGGATGAATCATCTCTGAAAGAAGAGCACATCATCTGGAGCTACATTTAAATAAAAATTAACTAAAC